CATGACCTGAGCCGAAGTCAGTTGCCCAACCAACTGAGCCACCCAGGCGCCCCTAAGACTTAAAAATTTTAATAAATGTAACAATTTATTAGACCACTGGAAAGAATAAGGCAAAATAACTTTATATGCAAAGAAAGTAAGATGTATGTTTTTGGTAAGAAAAAAGTATGAGGAATAGAGATACATTTTTGAGGAAAAACAAAGTAATTTTGTCCTAAAGTGAGGCTGGTTATTTAAAGAGGGAAAACTTAGGACAAAATCTGAGTGTAAAAAAGAAAGTTGTAGAAGTTTTGTGAAAAAAGGAATCTTTGGAAAGAACTTTGAATATGTGATCCAGCTGGCTTCCATGCAAAGGCAGAGGCAACAGAACTATAATGATTGTAACACACCTGGATGAAGTCCATTCTGCTTCTGCAAAAATGGCTCCTCATTGCCAGGCTTGGACATCTCCTGATGTCCCTATAACAGGGCAACAGTCTGCTCCTGAATCAGAGAAATTGAGATGGGTAAATAATGGCTCTAAGTTAAATGAATAGTCGAGACTATGGGAAACCCAAGATGGCTGCTTGGTTTTTCCCAGCTCCTTGACAAACCCCATTTTCTGATTTTAGCAGTCCTTCACCCACTGTAATGCATTTGAGATAACTTGAATTATAGACATTAGTGGAGAAACTTCTATGAAATTGCAAAAAAAAAATAGTCTGCCAATAACATCTAACTCGTCCGACATGTAATCCTGAAAAACTGATTTTGTCTCCAGTGTCCTCAAACCTCCTTCCTGTAGACCCTTTGAACACCTGCAGCTAGACTTCATTCAGTTGCCACTTAGTGTGGCTTATCAATACGTCCTTGTTATTGTATGCATGTTTTCCAGATGGGTTGAAGCCTTTCCCTACCACAAGACTGATGCTCTCACAGTGGGAGGGGACCTGCTAAAAAATGTGATCCCCACTTGAAGTATACCTTCTATAATCTCCAGTGATCAAGGCACCCACTTCACTGAATCATATGAGCCTTAATGAAAACCTTCCAGACTTGGAATTCTATCAATATATAACCTCCTGCTGATGCCTTATCTTGTGCTACTATGATCACTACTGTAAATCTCTAATGCGTTATGCTCAAGCCTGTCATCAACAGGTGAAGGAAGCCTTCCTGGGTCCCAATTCAAAGGATCTTGTTCATCACAGTTTAGGGCCTGGTGACCAAGTACTCTGAACACATCATCAGAGGAAGACCTCGAGCACCACTGGGAAGAACCTTACCAAGTGTTCCTGACCACTAACACTGCTGCAAAACTAGAATGTATTCAGCCTTGGGTACACATCACACAGATAAAGAAGACTCCACCTGACACCTGGTCCTGTGCAGACACTGGAGACCTCTGAATCAAGCTGACAGGGAAGACAAGTAGCTGACATTGAGGTAGACTGCTTCCGCCAAGAGGCCAGATCAAGACTTTCTACTTTAGGGGCACCTGGGTGGCTCAGTCATTAAGCGTCTGCCTTCGGCTCAGGTCAGGATCCCAGGGTCCTGGGGTCAAGCCTCATATTGGGCTCCCTGCTCGACGGGGGGGCCTGCTTCTCCCTCTCCCTCTGCCCCTCCCCCTGCTTGTGTTCCCTGTCTCCCTATGCCCTTCTCTGTCAAATAAATAAATAAATAAATATCTTAAAAAAAAAAAAAAAGATTTTCTACTTTAACTGAACATGAAACTCTTTCTTCTTTTCCCTTCCTTCACTCTGGCATTGGCCTGGAAAGACAACATCCTCATCTTTATCTCCCAGGCCACTGCTAAGATGGGTAACCTCTGGAATTTAGAGCCACTTTTTATTTCAGCCTAGGAAGCTGAAATCTGAGCCCCTACATCTCATTGGTAGACTCCCCTGAATATGCATAATCAAGTTAGAAAAGGTCTACCAGGAGGCTTTCACGATTCACGATTCACTCCTTTTGGCAGGTTCCTACTTCCTGGTCAAGGGATAAATATAAATGAGGCTGTGATCAGGAACTTCTCCTTAATTCATGAAATTGTTGCAGAATCCATTGCAAAAGCAATAGCTACCCAACCAAGATCCTTAGACGCTCTGGCCAAAGTTGTTCTTGATATTAGAATAGCCCTCAATTATCTGTTGGCCCCAACTGCAGTCCCCAGATTAACACTTCTGGGGAAGATTAAAACTCAATTACATAAGATCACAAAATAAGCCATTTGGCCTAAAAAGGTGACTCCTTCCATGGGGTCTTTCTTTTTTATTTGATTTTGATTAGATTGGGTCTTGGGGACTGATGAAGAGAACAAAGGCAGGGGAAATGTAGATAAAATTAAATTTCCTTACAACCTGCAGCCCATTGATAAATACCTGAGACATGCAGAGTGTGACATTCCTCAAGAAACTCACAGCTGCCTTAATATTAACGCTTTGCCAGAGACTAAAAGCATCCTTAGCTTGACAACAGCCAGACCTCCAGATCCTCTAAGTCTTCTTTAACATAACATATAGAAATCCCTTTAGAGACTTCTGTTATC